CTAGATTTTATATAAGAAAACACATAAATAAAACTAGACATCAACCAAAATAAATCAAACAACTATCAAGAACAAACTACAATCAAAACAACACAGAAACAAACTACACGTACAATATCTTCTTAGTGCATATTTTTATGTAACGTCTCATTGTTGTCGTGTACTAATGTGAACTGGATGTGACTAATCTCTTCTTAATTACCTCAGAACGTAAACTTACTTTTTCACGTGTTTGTTTGACTTTGATTTAAAAAAGCAATTTTATGTGTACTTTGATACTAGACTAGAATAGGCCCCTTTTGTCTTGTTCCTACTTTGATGAAGGTATAAACGCTTCTATCCTATCCTATATGGGGTCTAAGATTTCACATGTTGGCCGCAGGATAATTTGACTGTTTCTAATAATCAATACACACTAATAATTTAATTCTTATACCAAAACAATATCACAAATAAAGCCTATAATTTAATTCACAAAACCCAATAGAACAAACCTAAAAAAAAAAAAAATAAATAAGAATCAAATTCTTGAAAATAACTAATTAAAATTAATTAAAATATAGAAAAAGGCAGGAATAAATAGAATCAAAATAGTATTAAATTTAAGGGAGATTCTACAGTCCCGTTACATAATCATTCCGTCGAGGTTTGTACCCGTAAGATCAACTATCCATGACGGTTATATGATGATCTGATGGTTACAAATCACGACGAAATGATTCCGTAATAAGACCGTAGCATTTCTCTAAATTTAAAATCCCTTTACCAATTTCTGAATGCCCGGCAGTACTATACACTACTACTAGTAATTTCTTTGGCAGCCCCAGCAGGCAGCATTAACCTCCTACACACTATCATTACCTCTACCATTAATTTGATTATTTTCCTCATAATCATCATTAACAACAATGACATTACTATTATTATTAACATTCCCACCAATACCTATACCTCGATATTTACTAAAAAGCCCCCACGCCCAATCCCCAATGTGCAAAACGACGTAGCTTCCAATACCAGCAATCAGCCCATAGGCTATGGAGTAAGTCAAAGGCATGAGGCTCATCGTCAAGAATGCCGGCACAGCCTCCCTTACGTCCCCCCAGTCCACTTCCGCAACCGCCCTCATCATCACCACCCCGACCACCACCAGCGCCGGCCCCACCGCCCACGCAGGTATCGACGCCAGCACCGGCGTGAAGAATAGCGCCAGGAAGAAGTACCCGGCTGCCGTCACCGCCGTCAGCCCCGTCCTCCCCCCCTCCCTTATCCCCGTCGAAGACTCCACGAACGCCGTCACCGGCGACGTCCCCAGCAGCGACCCCACCACGATTGCCGACGCGTCCGACATGAACGCCGCGTACTGCCCCTCGAACTCGCCGCCGCCGCTCTCGTCAACGAATCCGGCGAACCTCGCCAGGGAGTACAGAGTTCCGGTTGTGTCTAGGATGTCGACGTACAGGAAGGTGACGACGGCCTCCCAAAATCGGGCTTCACCGATGGATCTGAAGCTCAGAGCGCCGGCGGTGTTTTCGATTTTGTGGACGTCGACGATTTTCTTGAAGTAGTCGAAAGCAGAGTCGCCAGCGGCGGTGTCGGGGAACGCCGTCACGGCAGTGTTTCTGAACCAGGAGACAGCCGTGACGAAGAGGATGCCATAAATCATGGCCCCTTTAACGTTTTTCGCCAGGCAGTAGGCTATAATTACGAATCCGACTATCCCGAGCCAGAGGGTGGGACTCTCCATGCGGCCGCTGAGGCAGAGTATGTTGCCTGAGACGGTGGCGCCGGGGAGGAGGGAGACGGTGCCGTTTGGGAAGGTGAGGACGGGGGCGAGGGCTGCCCGGGCTGACCGCGGGCAGCCGCCGAGGGTGACCAGAGTGGATGGGCTGTACCCGATTAGGCCGATGCCCTGATCGTTTTGGAGTCCGATGAAGGCGAGGAAGAGTCCGATGCCGGCGGCAGCGGAGATCCGGACGGGTTTGGGGATCAATTGGGCGAGCTTGGCGCGGAGGCCGATGGCGGAGATTAAGAGGAATATTAGGCCCTCGACGAAGACGGCGGCAAGGGCGCTCCGGTAGGAGAGGGTGCCGGAGCCGTGGAAGCCGACTATGGTGTAGGCGAAGTAGGCATTGGCGCCCATGCCGGGGGCGAGGGCGAGGGGGAGGTTGGCAAAGAGGCCCATGATGGCGGACCCGATGAGGGAGGCGGCGGCAGTGGCGACGATGAGGTCGCGGCGCGTGCGCTCCACGCAGGCGGCATAGCCGGGATTGACGGGGGGGAAGCGGCAGGAGGGGTCCGGCGGGGGGCAGGAGGGGCAGAGGGGGGTGCAGTCGGACACGGAACAGGTGCCGCCGGAGTCGGAGAGGATGGAGGCGTTGACGGCAAGGATGTAGGCCATGGTGAGGAAGGTGGCGGTGCCGGCGCGGAGCTCGGTGGTGAGGGTGGTGCCGCGCTCGGCTAGCTTGAAGCGCTTGCCGACGCGTGTGCCGGCGGCGTAGGCGTTGAGGCGGGAAATCGGGGAACGAGAGGCGGCGGTCGGGGTGGGGGTCGACGCCGGCGGCGTTTTCTGGCCGCCCTCGATGTCCATGGCGGTGAATTTTTTTGGATGGGGGTTTGGGGGGTACTGATTCGAGTGGCAAGGTCCGATTAGGACTTTTTATATTGTTTTTTGTTATTTTTTATTTTTAAAAATAAATAAATAAAGAGGATAACTTTATATGATGCTATTTTACAGGGTCCTTTTCCTAACAAAAATGAATAAAATTTTAATTAGATCTTTTGTTTTAGTTAAAACCATACAGTAAAATCTTTAGTAAATATATTAGTCGCTCTTATTTTTTTTAAATATCATTTTGGTTTTATCAACTATTAACAAAATAAATGTCGTTTTGGATATTTTGTACATATTTTTCCATTATGGTGATTGTGTGTGGCGAGATAATGTGATGCCGTAGTGGCTATAATCGGAACTGTCGGGCGAGGGGATATGCCGCAAGCCGCGGCTAGGTGTAGACTCTTGTCTGGTGGGATAATGTGATGCCACTACGGCTATAATCGGAATTGTCCGATTATCGCCTGATCCAGACAAATATACGTGCCGCAAGAACGCGTTATTTTATGGGCCTAGAAACGACCGATACCCTAGCTAATAAATACATTACATTTTTTCATATTCACTCTACTTTTTCTCAAAACATTTATCTCTATCTTCATTAAATAAGGTTATTATTGATCAAAAAATTTATTCTTAATTAATGTGCAACTTCTCAAAACGACATATATTAAAAATATGAGGTAATATATGAAATGTCTTTTAATTTCTCCAATACAAATAATACATTGGATTTTTTTGTTATTATTATGTTTAGTTATACATATTACTACCTCATATTTTTAATATATGTCGTTTTGAGAAGTTGCA